TCATAGGTTCTTGAGAGGTCCTTCCCCTAAACCTCAATATGAGCCTCTAAATCCATAGACCTGAGGCTCGAACACAACTCGGGTTTAGGGTTTAGGGGTTCAGGGCTTGTAGGGTTAAGGGTTTTGGGCTCCTCTGAATCCTTACAGCAGTTTTTGTCAATCGAACATCTTCCAAGAAACCCGGCAACCCTAGACCCTAAACCCTAAACCCTAAACCGTTTAGGGTTTAGGGTTTAGGGCTTTGGGTGCGGCGACAGTTTAAGGTTTAGGGTTTAGGGTGCGGCAACAGCCCGAAGTTCCAGAAGCTTTCCAGGACATTTTGGAAAATTCTACGATCCTGAGCACCTGGGTTTAAGTTTAGGGCTTTCGATTTTTGAGAGCGTGTCAGTTAATGGGTTGAGGGTTATGTCCTCTGAAATCACACGCTGCTCCGATACAGGGGTTTCCGAAAACAGGGGACCCTAATATAGTGCCCGAAATAGTAGGATCCTTATTATAAGGACCCCTAAATAAGGTACCCCTTATTTTCGGGAAACCCCCATACTCGTACCCAGCAAGACAGGAACACCACAGGGTTGTTCAGGGAGGCAGCTCTATGAAGCCATCAAGCCCCTTAGGGGTTAGGGTTTAGGGCTTAGGGTTAACGCCACATGATTTAGGCTTCTTGGCTTGGGGTTTGAATACCGTAACCAGAGCCCAGAACCCTTGCATGACCTCTGCAGGAGGGCTTCAATCGCAAGCGCGTTTGGCGCGTGGTGGGCAGCGTCCTCGAGGTGAAGAGGGTGGTTCGAGGGCCTGCAACGGCATGGCATTGGGTAGCTCCTTGTGCAGGGACTAAACCCTAAACCCCAAACCCCTAAACCCTAAACCCGTAACCCCAAACCCCCAAACCCCAAAACCCTAAACCCCAAACCCTAAACCTTAAACCGCACATCCCCATCTCCACAGCACCCGACTTCAAGAATCGGACCCCAACTACCCACGAAAGCCTCTGAAGGGTTGTACCCCTTATGACTGAAGGTCATGGCCTCCTGTTTTGTAGGCTAAGTCCGGAAACCCTAAACCATCAGCTCTATCAAGACCTTATAAACCCTAAATCCTGACCCTAAACCTTTACACCTATATGCATGTGTATGTATGTATATATATGGTACCCCCCCCCTCA